CTTTAGTAGTATTGACACCTATTTTAACTCATCACATTCTCTTTCCAGATGTCTTATCCTCAAACTCTTGAGAATGGGGATGGTGTTTTATCCTTCCTCCGTTTCTGGTTCTTTCTCAATGACTGTTCTATAAAGGTGCTCAAGTTTCTTGAAATGAAAAGGCGTTCCAGAGGCCCATAGGAAGATATCCATGGGCATTCTCTCAGTTCCCTGTTCCCCTCCCCCTAATTCCTCTGATGGTGTAAGTTTTAAGTGTTTGCAGGCTTCCAACAGCAGGGAGTTTCAAGGGACACTCATACACATACCTCTGAGTCTGTCTTGGCTCTTGCCTGCCCCCAGTTCCAATAACTAGAAAACAGCATCCAGACCCCACAAACAAGGGAACCAAGTAATGGAATAAGGCTGAGATATGATGGCAATGGGATACCCAGCTCCCAAATTGGAGCCATTGCTCAAGCCCATGCCCCTCTCAGCCAAAGAGTTTTCTGCCTTTAGCCTGAGACTCCCTATGACATCACAATGGCACTGCAAGGTAAGCCTGACAGGACCCAGCCAGTGTGCGCCCTTGGACCCATCTGTGGTCATGCTTGGGGGAGAGCTCACTTATGACACTTTATCATTAAGTAGCAAGTAAGCAGGCAAAGTTTCAAAGGAGCAGGCCTTCCAAGTTGACTTATTTTGCCTATGAGCATTTTCTCTTGAACCAGTCAAAAGCAAATGGTGCTCCCAAAGCAGATTACAAGTGAATGTGCTTAATTTAAGTAATAAAGTCGAAGTTTTAGATATGTTGAAAGGCAGAGTGTCTTTATGGGAGGTTGGGTGGTGTCATGAGAGCATGAACCATCTACAGGGTACTACTGAACCTGAAACCTTGTGGGTTTTCTTTAACTAAAGTATGCCAACCCATTTATTAGTGGAGATCTTTTCTTTCTTCTTTCCTTTGTTTCTTCTTTCCTTTGTTTCTTTGTTGCTTCTTTCTTCTTTTTCTGCTCTGGGTATCAAATCCAGAGTCTCCTTCATACCAGACAAGCACTCTAACTTTAAGCTTCACCCGTAGCCATAATGGCTGTCTTTTAAAATGCTGAATGCATATATATATATATATATATATATATATATATAGTCGGTCATGGGGCCTGAACTCCGGGTCTAGGCACTGTCCCTCAGCTCTTCAGCTCAAGGCTAGTGCTCTACCACTTGAGCCACAGCGCTACTTCCAGCTTTTTCTGCTTATGTGGTGCTGAGGAATCAAACCCAGGGCCTCATGCATGCAAGGCAAGCACTCTACCACTGAGCCACCTTCCCAGCTCCATGAATTTTAACTTATCAATATTTAAAATAATCAAAACTCCTAGCCTCTTACAGATAATCTGAGGCACTTTCAATATTTTAACTTCATGAACTACATATTAATTATTGTTGTAGTCAGGAATTTTACTTGTAAATTAAACTTTATTTTGGAATAATTTTAGATTTCAGTATATTCAGCTTCAAATATGTGCAATATTTTGATCCAGCAAATAGAAATAACCGGAAGTTATTTCCTTCATCTTACACTGTCTAATGTAGTCTTCTAGGCTGGGCCCTTCAATCACTTCAGACCGTTTACTGTCTTGCATTGACAATGTTACTTTCTAGTTGGTTTTACCTTTGGATGTTTGCTTTCTCCAAATAATGTTAAAAGTTGCCACCCTCCTTTTTCTTAAATTCTAGCAAAATCTTTAGCACTGTCTAGAGCACAGGTTCCACCGACAATGACCTAATTCTCTGATACAAGATTCATATAACAGTGCCACTGTGCAAACATTCTCAGATTTTCTTCAGCGACTCGTACATCCTCTCCTCGCTTCACCCCCACCCTGCCCCACAATCTTGGTTCCTCCCTTGATTCTTGGCTTAACCTGTAATCTCCCAGAATAGTTCTGGCAGCTCTCTGTAGCCAGCTGCCCTAAGCCACTTCAGTTGTCTTGTACTAGAGGTGCTTACTTGTGTCTATAAGTTTCTAGGGGATAGTGATCTAACCTTGGTCATCTTTGTCACTTCTGAAATGACAGAAGTATATCTAACCTTGAATGCTTCTTCCTAACTCTACCTCTGAACATGGCTGAATCTAGATGGGGATGCTAGGCCCTCTGCTTCTCCTTGTCCATTCATTGGGCAAATACACTGAGAGGTAGAGGGCAAATACACCGGGGCTTGAACTCAGGGCCTGGGCACAGTCCCTGAGCCTTTTTGCTCAAAGCTAGCACTCTATCACTTGATCCACAACACCACTTCCAGCTTTTTCTGAATAGTTAATTGGAGATAAACGCCTCATGGACTTTCCTGCCTGGGCCGTCTTCAAATCCTGATCCTCAGATCTCAGCCTCCTGAGTAGCTAGGGTTACAGACTTGAGCCAAAGACACATGGCAAAGAGACAGATATTTAACACACACACACACACACACACACACACACACACACACACGTTAGCTGGGCACCCATGGCTTCTGCTGTAACACTCAGGAGGCTGAGGATCAGGATCATGGTTCAAAGCCAGCCCAGGCAGGAAAGCAGCCCATGAGACTCTTATCTCCAATCAACCACAGAAAAAGCTGGAAGTGGTGCTGTGACTCAAGTGGTAGAGAGCTAGCATTGAGCAAAAGAAGCTCAGGGACGATGCCCAGGCGTTGAGTTCAAGCCCTAGGACTAGCCAAAAAAAAAAAAGTTGGAATAATTTTAGATTTTAATATATTATGCTTGAAGCATAATGCAATATGCAAATATCTTCTGCCCCATCCTCTCATTTTTGGTCCAACACATGGTAAGCACACGAAGAGTCCATTTGCTCAGTGAGAACACATAGAAGGGAAGCTGAGGGTCTCTGCAGCATCCAGGCCTAACTTCAGCCAGGTTGAGTGGTGGGTTAGGAGAAAGTGTTTGTGAAGAACAAATAACAAGGTGAAATACTCAGAAGTGACTGAGAGTGGTGTTGGAGACAAGGGAGTTGGGTAAAGATCAGATACAGGAATGTAAGATGTGGAATAGGAAGACAGCTCAGAGACAGGCTGGAGGCCCACAGATGGATGGAGGGGGCCTATGGCTGCTTTCAAAAGGTTGATTCTCCTCAGAAAACCAAAATCTGGATCCTTAGCAGTCACCCTCCTGCTGAAAAGTCTCCCTGGTCTTCTTCATAGGAGGTTTTGTCTCCAGGAGTGTTTCTGGGTGTATATTACGTGGACTTTTCTCTGCCACAAGGGGGAAGCATCTCTCTACTGCTGGGGTCATAGTCACAGACACTGAAGAATCCAGCTGAGCTGAGCCAGGGTGCCTTTGACTCGTCAAAACAAGCGACAGCTCAAGTTTAAAAAGTGAGACTGAGCCGGTGGCTCACACCTGTAATCCTAGCTACTCAGGAGGCTGAGATCTGAGGACTGCGGTTCAAATCCAGCCCAGGCAGGAAAGTCTATGAGACTCTTATCTCCAATAAACCACTCAGAAAACCAGAAGTGGAGCTGTGGCTCTAGTGGTAGAGTGCTAGCCTTGAGATGAAGAGCTGAGGGACAACGCCCAGGCCCAGAGTTCAAAACCCAGGACCACCAACAACAACAAAAAAAGTGAGACTGAGCCAGGTGGCTCACACCTGTAATCCTAGCTACTCAGGAGGCTTAGATCTGAGGTTTGCAGAAAGTCTGTCAGACTCTTACAGGAAAGTCTGTGAGACTCTTATCTCCAATAAACCACTCAGAAAACAAGTGGAGCTGTGATTCAAGTGGTAGAGCACTAGCCTTGAGATGAAGAGCTGAGGAACAGTGCCCAGGCCCAGAGTTCAAAACCCAGGACCAACAACAACAACAAAAAAAGTGAGACTGAGCCAGGTGGCTCATATCTGTAATTCTAACTACTCAGAGGGCTAAGATCTGAGGATCATGATTCAAAGCCAGCCCAGGCAAACATATACACATACACTAAAAAACAAAAACAAAAAAAACCCCAAACAAAAAAAACCATGAGACTCTCATCTCCAATTCAACAAAAAGCTAGTAGAACTGTGGCTCAAATAGTAGAACATTAAGAGCCGGGCGCTGGTGGCTCTCGCCTGTAATCCTAGCTACTCAGGAGGCTGAGATCTGAGGATCACGGTTCAAAGCCAGCCAGGGCAGGAGAGACCGTGAGACTCCTATCTCCAATAAACCACCAGAAAACCGGAAGTGGTGCTGTAGCTCAAGTGGTAGAGCGCTCGCCTTGAGCTGAAGAGCTGAAGGACAGTGCCCAGGCCCAGAGTTCAAGCCCCACGACCGACAAAAAAAAAAAAAAAAATAGTAGAACATTAGCCTTAAGAACAAAAGCTCTGCGGGGGGGGGGGGGGTGGGAGGGCAGGGAGATGGGAAGGGATGAGAAGGGGAAACAAAGGAGGAGGCAACAATGCTTGATAAGAAATGTACTCATTATCTTGCCCATGTAATTGTAACCCCTCTGTACCGTATTTTCACAATTAAAAAAGAAAAGCTCAGGATCAATGCCCAGGCCCTAAGATCAAGTACCTCCACCCAGTGTAATTTCTAGTGTTATTGATCTTACTACCGAGGGTGTTCAGTACCCGCAATGTTCCTTACATTCCTTCTTATAAATACGAAGCTGGAGAGATTGCAAAGGCCTTGACCTCATGTGTGGGTAGACATGTCATTCATTCTGGTAGCCAGAATGAGAATCTATGAACGTTGTATCTAATCAGGATCACCTTCCTCTGGTGTCCTATGTTAGATACACAGCTTCTTCCCTCTTCCTGGAATTCTCTAAAGTCCCTGCATCTCGTGGGCTGTCTGTGTGAGCATCTTTGTGTGCATGTGTGCATACCTTTGTACCTGGAAACTACAGAGATGCCAGAATAAGGTTTGGGTCAGAGGGCAATGGAACAGGGCTGGGGAGACAAAGGGGCCGGGGACTCTGCTGCTGGACTCACGTCTGGTCTACTGTGCTTTACAGACTTCGGAAAGTTAATTTTTTTCCAACACAGGACATTTCATTTTATTTCTGAGATCAAGATAGGCCAGTGAAATTTAAAGATGAAACAAAACTCACTAAGTCAAGTGCAAGAACTCTCCCGACACCCTAGGATGTTGGTGCCCCTGGAAACTGGGCTTCTCCCTCCCACCTCCTGTGCTGCTGGCACAGGAGTCTTGGGCTGGGACCCCCTCACATTCTCATCAATACCAGTTCACTGCACAGCAGGCTGTAAGGTCTCCAGAGTGTCCGCGCTGCGCTTCTGTCCTGGCCCAGCCAGGGCGCTCCTGATAACCTCACAGACTGAAGGGGCTGCAGCCAGGTGTGACAGAGCCTCGGGGATGGAGCATCGGAATAGGAGGCTCAGCAAGGCTAAGGGGATCACCTGTGGAGAAGAGACAGCGAGAGCTGAAGGCTGAGGTCATATGAGAGAATCCTGGAGGAGCTTGAGCACTCAGTGGGAGAGCCAGGTTGGATGTAAGAGCAGAAGGTGGTTATCCAGATTAAAAAGTGGGTGCCAAGCCGCAGTGGCGCATGACTGTAATCCTAGGTGCACAGGAGGCTGAAATCTGATGGTTGTGGTTTGAAGTCAGCCCAAGCAAAAAACTCTGTGAGACTTTTATCTCCAATTAACTACCAAAAGGCCAGATGGGGAGCTGTGGCTCAAGTTGTAGAGCACTAGCCTAGAACAAATGAGCTCAGGGACAATCCCAGGCCCTCCGTTCAAGCTCCAGGACTGAAAAAATAAAATAAAATGGGAATAAAGGTGGGTTAAGAGCAGAAAGAAACTGTTACTCTGATCCATTGGAAAACTCCTGCTCATCCTTCCAAACCCAGTCCATTCAGATGCATTATACTTCTAAACTGACATGTTGCATTTAAACCCCATTGTACAACTACTTAAAGATCATAAATAAAATACCAAACCCAGTCCAAAGACCCTTTCTCACTCTTCTCCCTGACCCCTTTCCAAGGCAGAATGGAAGATTCCTTTTTTGGTACCTTTTCACACCTCTGTATGGCCACTTGTCACAGTTCATCTCTCATGAATGGGGGGTTCCTTCTGGGCAGAATATCAGCGGGCTTTGCGAACCCACTCAAGCAAAGTTCCTGATACATTGGAGGCACCCAGTAAGTGTCTGTTGGGTGACAGTAGTCAGGATACCTTTTCTTTCTCATGTGCAATGTGGACATGGCGGGAGATGGGAGCAGCTCGAATTTCATCTGACAGCAGCTGAGGAAAATGGATGGCTTGGAGAAGGCTTTCAAAGCATCGAGCCTTGGACTGTCCAGAGAAGCGCTGTGGAAGATGTGATGAACGTTTTAGTGTCAGGCTAGAGGACCAAGGGAACTGTGGAGTCAAGATCTGAGGGTCTGTGATGCTAAAGGCTGGCTGGAGATTCTGTAAAGAATTTGTCCTTTTAGGCAGAGCCATTATGCTGAAATAGGAAGACAAATGGTAAAAGGGACAGGTGGCTCACACCTGTAATCCTGGCTATTTAGGAGTCTCCCATACTTAGGGAGAAACATCCGCTAGACTTCATTAAAAAAAATGTCAGACAAAAACAGCCAGGATGAAGGTGTGGTTCAACTGATTCAACACCAAACAAAGAAGCTGAGCAAGAACCAGGGTATTCCTGCACCAGTGGGTGTTTGTTTTTTTAAGGTTGAGTTGTGGGCCAGGATTGCATGATGACTGTGTAATACTACCGTTAATAGCAAATTAATCAGATTTTCTGATCATGTCCCAACAAACCCATAGATTAGTAAATTTAGACTGAACTTCCTCTCTCCAGTTCCTTTCTAACCAAAGCCATCCTGCACACTGCTGTCAAGACAGTTGCTGTCAAGACGTTTTGTCGGTGTTCTTTCCTCTGGCTAGCTCAGCACTGTCCATAAATACAAAGCAAGACACATATGTAATTTTTAAGTTTTCTAGTAGCTGCATTAAAACATGCTGAGCCAAGCATGGTGGCATATGCCCATAACCCCAGCACTCAAGAAGCAGCTGTGACAAAAGGATCATGAGTTCAAGATCAGCTTGGATGACACAGTGAGAACTTATCTAAAAACAAAGAGTCAATGGGGCTGGGAAGGTGGCTCAGTGGTAGAGCACTTGCCTTGCATGCATGAGGCCCTGGGTTCGATTCCTCAGCACCACATAAGCAAAAAGGAAAAAAGCCGGAAGTGGTGCTGTGGCTCAAGTGGTAGAGTGCTAGCCTTGAACTGAAGAGCTGAGGGACAGTGCCCAGGCCCAGAGTTCAGGCCCTATGACTGGACACCCCCCCAAAAAAAAACAAAGAGTCATATTTTATGAATAGATTTAAAGTTAACCCAATAAATTCAAAATATCTCAACTAGTAATCAGTATTAAAAACTATGAGGGAAGCCTGGTACTAGTAGTAGCTCATGCCTGTAATCCTGGCTACTCAGGAGGCTGGGCAGGAAAGTCTATAAGATTCTGATCTCCAGTTAACCACCAGAAAACCAGAAGTGGAGCTGTGGCTCAAAGTGATAGAGTACTAGTCTTGAGCAAAAAAGCTCAGGGACAGGACAGTACCCAGGCCTTGAGCTCAAGCTTTTGACTGACAAGATAAACAACTAAACTAAAATAAACCAACTATGAGTGGATGGGGGAGAACAACAGAAGGATGATATTGATCAAGATATTCATTGTACTCAAAAACTCATATGTTGAATTGAAATTCCTTTGTACAACTACTTAAAGATAATTTTGAAAATTTTAAAAATTAAATCGAGTGAAGCCAGGCATGGTGGTACATACCTGTAGTCCCAACTTGGAAGGTTGAGAGCGAAAGATTTCAAGTTGGAAACTAACAGGCTCCATAGGAGTTTCAGGCCAGCCTGAAACAGTGAGATTGCCTCAAAAAAAAAAAAAAACAAAACAAAAACAAAAAAAAAGACAAGAACAAGACTATGAATCAGATGGTTACAATATTTTTATAGTAAGTCTCTGAGATCTGCTATATGTTTTATGATTATAGCATACCTCAGTTTGGGTGCCTAATTTGCAATGTTGAAAATGCAATCTTATAACCCGATTTGTTAAATTGAAGCCCCTTTCTACAACTACATAAAGATAATCAAATTTTTAAAAAGTTTACTTGTAGATTTATAGGTACAAATGAGGGAAAATATGCAACCTATGTTTCTTTGGGTCTGGGTTACTTCGCCTAATATATTTCCAGGTCTTGCCTGGAAAATGATATCCTTACAAATGATATAATACCATTCTGATGGAAGAGTAGAATTCCATTGTGTATATATACCACATTTTCTTGATCCATTTGTCTACTGAGGGGCATCTGGGTTAATTTCATATCTTGGCTATTGCAAACAATACTGCAATGAACATAGTTGTGCAGGTAGCTTTAGTGTGCATTGTTTATGTTCTATTGGATAAATGCCCAAGAGTGTAATTGTTGGGTCATAGGGAAACTCTATGTTTAGTCTTTTGAGAAACCTCCATACTGCTTTTCAGAGTGGTTGAACAAGTGTACATTCCAAAAACAGTGTAGTAGAGTTCTTTTAGCTACATCTCTGCCAGCATTTGTTATTAGTTTTCTTAAGGGTCATTCTAACTGAGATGAAGTGGAATCTCCATGTTGTTTTGATTTGCATTTCTTTTAAGGCCAGATAGGTTAAACATTTCTTCCTGTGTCTACTAGTCATTCTTAGTTCTCTTCTGAGAATGTGTCTATAAATCTACAAGTAAACACACTGAATGGTTAAAAAAAATATACTGGGACATGATAAATTATACGTATCTCCAGATACTGACACAGTGAGACTAAAGGATCACAAAGGCTTAGTAGCTATGTGCATATGATCATATAAAATATTTACTGAAATGAACTCCAAGAAACAGAAACAAGAGATGTTTTTGTTGTTATTGCTGCTTTTTTGTTGTCTTTTCCTTTTGTGTTATTAGTTAGTTTGTCTTTGGTAGGGTAAGGGGAGAACAGAAAAGGTGGGACAAAGGGTGAACAACACAACTTGTGGTGGGGACAGAAGGGAAAAACTTGGAGAGAGTGAGGGAAGGGGTGATATGGTTCAAAAAGGAATGTACACATTGCCTGACCTATATAACTATAATCCCTCTATAAATCACCTTTCCAATAACAAGAAAATATGTTCTTTAAAAAAAGACATTAGAGGGGCTGGGAAGGTGGCTCAGTGGTAGAGCGCTTGCCTTGCAAGCTTGAGGCCCTGGGTTCGATTCCTCAGCACCATATAAGCAAAAAGAAAAAAGCCGGAAGTGGCGCTGTGGCTCAAGTGGTAGAGCGCTAGCCTTGAGCTGAAAAGCTGAGGGACAGCGCCCAGGCTCAGAGTTCAGGCCCCACAACTGGACCCAAAAAAAAAAAGAAAAAGACATTAGAAGAAAAATTGGTTAAAATCTGAACTAAAGTCTGTAGTTTAGGAAAAATAAATAAGTGAATAGTTGAAAAAGCAGCCCTACCCAGACAATAAAGTTGTATTTAATGAGAAAATTCATTCATTTAGTTTTTACATAGAAAAAAACTTCAGATGCTCCAATGTTTACCGGCTCCATGTGGCTTGTTCATGATGGTACAGATCTGTCTGCACTTACCAAGTCCAAATTCCTGCCCTCTTCTGTCACAGTTTCTTTCCTTCCTCATCTCCCCCAAATTCCCCAGTGCTTCCAGAAATGGCTCTGCTCTAGTCAGACCTGTGTCCACCCCTTCTCATGCCTAATCTTCCTGGGCTTTGGCAAATGGTCTAAGAGGAACACCCTCTGTCTTTTCTCTAACCAAGTGATTAACACCAATCCCAGGTAAAATACCACAGATCTGTCACACCTTCTGATTGCTCTAGTGCAGATGGACCCCACCCACTTTCTTTATAGTTCCGTGGACTTTAGGAAGGTCCTTCCATTCTGAGAGGAGCATGATGGGTGCTCACTTATTGTGCACAGACCGATGCTTTTCACATACGTTTGCCAGACTGAGCAGATAGAAATAAGACAAGTTACTTTTGAATTGCAGATACATACTGAAAAATTGTTATATGTCTCAAATGCTGTATGGGACATGCTGATACTAAAACAGTGTTTCTTATTTATCTGAAATGCAAATTTAACTGAGTGTCCTATATTTTTGATTGCTAAAAATGACACCCTTGAAGTCAAGGATAACAATCTCCAAGCCCATCCCCCACGCTCACGTCCCTTCCTGCTCCTCCTGCTAGCAGTTTCATTTTCCTCTGAGCAACTCTTGCTTCTCCATGCGCAGACATAAGACTTGACTGAAAACCATGTCCCAATCCTTTATTAAACACTGCTTCTTATTCATTTTTTTGAGACAAGGTATCACTAAGGGGTCTTAGTTAGCCTGATCCTCCTGCCTCAGCCTCCCTAGTATTGAGATTACAGGCATCCACCACCCACCCTGGCCCTGGCCACTCTATTGAAGGTAAAACATAGGAATCAGGTGAGGCAGAAAATTATTATATAATCAGGTGAGGATAATGTAATCAGGTGAGGCAGATATTATTATATAATCAGGTGAGGATAATTATAATCAGGTGAGGCAGATTATTGTTATATAATCAGGTGAGGATAATTATTGTTTCAAGGATGTGCATTGTGACCCATCAAGCCAATAACAACTCTGCCCCCCTCAGGCATTTTTAGGGAATTACAGAGATAGATAATCTCTACTGAAGTTAATAGGGGCAGCCTGACAGGCTGGCACTACATCTGGGCCAATTTGCCACATCACACAGAAAATCAGCCTGGAAAATGAAGTCAATGATGAAATATACACATTGAAAAGTTCTGAAGGGGCTGAAAAGTTCTAGATTTCATCCTCAGTGTGTCAGGCTGCCCAAGAACTGTTCCCAAGGCAATCACTTGGCTTGTTTAGCTTTAACCAACAAGACCTTGTAGTTTTACAGAGACAACCTCCCCATGTGTTCAACACACAGACAGTAGGGTGTGTCTGGTAAGAGGAGGAGAGAGGCACAAAGAAAAACAGCCCATCCCTTACTTTTCTCTGCCCCAGCAAAAGGCTCTCCCATGGCACCCCAGGCTTTGTGGCCAGTCATAGCTAAACCTACCAAAGGTGTTCCTACCTGCAACATGGCCAGTGCCCGCCAGAAGAGCTTGGAGTTGGCAATGCGAAGGTCTAGCATGTAGTTGTGTAGGCTCTTCCCCAGAAGCACGTGGGCCCCGGTGCTCACTGTATTCAGTACCCACTTGGTGCTTAGCTCACGCTGGAATTTCTAAAAAGGGCAGGCACATAGGAGTATGACAAATCAGAACATGGGAGCAAGCAGAATAGAGGAGCCCCATTATCAGACAGGAAACAATGGTGACAACCAGGGACCAAAGTGTAGACATCATTTGTTCGGCCAGCTCAAGGACAGCGTTATATAGGACAGTGGATGTGACCGGGGCTGTCCCAAGCAAGCCTGGCAGCTTCACCCCATTGTGGTTTTGACCCCTGGCTGGACAGATACCTTTGCTAAGTCCTCTCACAATAGGGCTTTTTTGTTAGAATTTTCTTTATGTTTCTTGAATACCAGACAAGGGAAGATGAGTTCTGAGACTCATCCACTAAACTGCAGGCAACTTAGGGCAAAGATGCTGTCTAATTCTGCTCCAGTATCCTAATCCCTTAAACAATGACTGACCCATAACTGTTCATCGGTATATGAGTTTTTACTTGAAGAATGAATTATTCATTATTTCTTTATTTTTGTAGTTCCTAGGTCTTGAACTCAGGGCCTGGGTGCTGTCTCTTTGTTTCTTTTTTCTTTTTTTTTTTGTGTGTCCGGTTGTGGGGCTTGAACTCTGGGCCTGGGCACTGTCCCTCAGCTCTTCAGCTCAAGGCTAGTGCTCTACCACTTGAACCACAGCACCACTTCCAGCTTTTTTCTTTTTGCTTATGTGGTGCTGAGGAATCGAACCCAGGGCCTCAGGCATGCAAGGCAAGCGCTCTACCACTGAGCCACCTTCCCAGCCCTCTTTGTTTCTTTTGTTCAAGGCTAACACTCTACAACTTCAAGTCACAGTGCCACTTTCAGTTTTTTCTGAGTAGTTCATTAGAGGTAAGAGTCTCATGAACTTTCCTGCCTGGGCTGGCTTTGAACCACTATCCTCAGATTTCAGCCTCCTGAGTAGCTAGAATTACAGGTGTGAGCCCAGTGCCTGGTTTTGAAGAATTAATTTTGTGTAACCTTAACAACACCTCTGTGGAATAGTTAACTTAAAAATATATACATTTCTTTATTTGCCATAGTACCATGACTGGAATGAACAATGAGATGTTAAGCAGATTCTCTTAACCCCTCTTCCAATCTTCAGGATAGGTTTTCCTATTCTCATTTCTACTTAGGAGGAAACTAGAGATCAGAAGAAAAGCCCATGTAAGATCATGCAAGAATGTGACACAGAACTAGCCCTGAAATCTAGGTTCTTCTGATCCATGATGAGACCACTTCCTACCCTGCCATGGTGACCTCCTGCATGAATTTGTGAAAGCCCGTGGAAATTAAAACGTTGTACAAACACGAGGTACTGTGAGTGTAATTGCCACCTGACCCTGCCTACCTTCCCCACTTTGCAGCACTTATAACATCTACTATTGTGCTGGCAGGCTAGCATGGGTCTGTTAAAGGTGTTGAGGGGATTCACATGGTCCTTCCAGGCTAAGAACACACCCCACAGTCAAGTGTGGGGTTTATGTCATTACTCTGGAAGTCCTGAAAAAACTGTTCATCTAATCCCCAGGAGCCGTGCATCTTGAAACCATTTCACAAGTGCATGGCAAGGACATTGAGCAGGAGAACAGAAATCTGACCAATCAGCATGAATCTGGCTGTTGTGCAGTGTGGATGCTCTGTGCTGAGGGTTACACAGCACTGCAAGATAGAGAGTCATTAGATTTAGGTTGTATCACTAGCTATTTATACACTATCATCAACACAAAAGTATTTTAGTTTCGGGGCCGGGAAGGTGGCTCAGTGGTAGAGTGCTTGCCTTGCATGCCTGAGGCCCTGGGTTCAATTCCTCAGCACTACATAAGCAAAAAAGAAAAAAAAGTATTTTAGTTTACACAATTCATTTTGAAGTTAATATGAAAAATAAAACTCCAATTTTAACCAGGAAAACTCTTTTTTTTTTTTCGGTCAGTCATGGGGCTTGAACTCAGGGCCTGAGTGCTGTCTCAGAGCTTTCTCACTCAAGGCTAGTGCTCTACCACTTAGCCACAGCGCCACTTCCAGTTTTCTAGTGGTTAATTGGAGACAAGAGTCTCAAATGTTTATGCCTGGGCTGGCTTCAAACTGCAATCCTCAGATCTCAGCCTCCTGAGTAGGTAGGATTACAGGTATGAGCCACCAGTACCTGGCTCTGAAAAATTCTTTTTTGGTGGTTGTTGTTGGTCCTGGGGCTTGAACTCAGCCTGAGTGCTGTCCCTGGGCTCTTTTGCTTAAGGCTAGCACTCTACAACTTGCAGAACTTGAGCTACAGTACCATTTCTGGTGCTAGTTTTCTGTGGTTAATTGGAGATAAGAGTCTGACAGACTTTCCCACTTGAGCTGGCTTCAAACTGTGTTCCTCAGATCTCAGCCTCCTGAGTAGATAGGATTATAGGCATGAGCCACCAGCACCCATCAGGAAAACTCTTAAAGTACAATGAAAGGTAGACTAACTGGATTCTACAACTATCATAAAGCCTCTATAACTAAACATATAGTGCCAGAATATCAATATCTTAGATAGGTTAGTGGTACAGAATAGAAACTCTAGAAATGACCTAAAGTACACAAGGCCCTGTGTTCAATCCCCAGAACCATCTCTCTCTCCCTCCCTCCCTCCCTCCCTCTCTCTCTCTCTCTCTCTCTCTCTCTCCCCTCTCTCTCTCTCACATACGCACACATAAATTCACTGATGTGAATAAATATTTAGTGGATAACACATCTAGTATCCCAAATCATTTGGGGGTTGAAGGTGTGGCTCAGGTGGTAGATCACCAGCTAATGTGCAAATGCAAGCCTCAGATACCAGTTCAAGTTCCAGCCTCAGACAAAATATAAAAAATAATAAATAACTGAAAATGATAGGCTTAAAAATATATTAGGATGATTGGATAATCACTTGTAAAAACATATAACAGGATCCATGTCTTACCCCGTTACACAAAGATAAACTCCTAATGAATTAAATACCTAATTTTTTAAAACTAGAACAACACAGGTAATAGTCTGCTATTACAGCCTGGGGTTTGGGGGGTGGGTAGTAAAGTTCTCTGAGCCTCAGAATCCAAGTTTAGTAATGGAAAACTTGTTAAAACTCAGCTTCGGAAAAATTAGACTTTCTTATGGTTAAAACCCAAAGAAAATAAATGTAACAAAAATAGAAGGATAATATCTTTATAAAGAACTCAAAGACAAGAGATAAAAACCAAACTAAACTAAAATCTTGTTAGAAAAACAAATAATCAAAAAGAAGACAAATAAGAAGCTGACTAAAGCCCCTGAATCAGGTGCAAGATGCCAGCTTCTGGGTAACAAATACAGGCTAGGGCTACAGCTTCTCTGGAGAGCACTTGCTTAACACATGGCAGGTCCTGGATTCCATCCCAAGCACTGAAATTATTTTAAATAATAAATTCAATAAATGCAAATGAAAAGTACACAGAAGCATGGAGCATGTGGCAGGCCTGTAAACCAAGCACCTGGAAGATGAAAGTAAATGGGTTATATGAGCTTGGAGGCCAGCTTGTAATATCTAGCAAGATCCTGTCTTCCCCCCTGCCTCCACAAGATAAAGAAGGAAGAAGGAAGGGAAGACAGGAAGGAAGAGAGAAAGCTAAGAAGAAAGAGAGGGAGGGATGGAGGAAGAACAGAGGGAGAGAGGGAGAAGAAGTGAGGAAAGCAGCAGCATTTCTCATCTATCAAGTTGACAGCTCTGAGCAGGACTCTCAGAAAAGCTGTATGGACCAGCATTCTCACATCTGCTCATATTAGAAGCAAAATGGGGGCTGGAATGTGGCTTAGTAGTAGAGTGCTTGCCTTGCATGCATGAAGCCCTGGGTTTGATTCCTCAGTACCACATAAACAGAAAAGGCCAGAAGTGGCGCTGTGGCTCAAGTGGTAGAGTGCTAGCCTTGAGCATAAGAAGCTCAGGGACAGTCCCCAGCCCCTGAGTTCAAGCCATAGGACTGGGAAAAAAAAAAAAAAGAAGCAGCAAAATGGTACAATCCCTATGGAGGACAGTTTTGCAATATCTAACAAAGTTACACATGTGTTCACCCTATGATCCAACTCAAATGCTTCTAAGAATTTATCCCAAAGAAATACTTTTAACATTACAAACATAGGCACATTCATTGCATAATTTCTGGCAAGAGCAAACAAATGCCTTAGGAGATTGACCGGGTAAACTATTGGACATACGTGTGTGTGTGTGTGTGTGTGTGTGTGTAGCAATGAGAAAGATCTGTGATTTGCAAGGGAGTAATTTTCAGAAATTCTTATTAAGCAAAACACACAAGATGTTCTATTATTCTTTGCCTGAGAAGGAAGGCTTTTGTTGTTGTTTTCCCCCCTTTTGCTTTTGTTTCCTAAAAAGAAACACAACAAACAGTGTTCAAATATAAATGCAAGTAGCAAGTATGTCAGAGGGGGTCAAATTGAATGAGCTTTCCTTCTGAGCATCAAAACAAAGAATGAACAACAAAGAATGACAAGAATGTATAAAAACACATTGAACAACAACAAACTCATAAGCTCATAATGACATTAAACAAACAGGCAGATGGGGAGAGAGTGGAAAGTTTTCCTTACCAAAAAATGTCAATTAGGGAATGCAGCTGGAGGGATAGAAGTAGAAAATCATCAACATAAAACCACCATAGCAGTCACTGATTCTACCCAGAATCCTTAGTGGCTGCTTTGCAAACAGGTGAAAGATTGCTAAGCAGTAGGATGTGAGGAAATCCAATACCTTCACCCTATGACCAACAGTAGCCTCATGAACAAAGGAACTAATACCATTTCCTCTTGATGCCACTGAGCTGTTCAGGGCTCAGCCTCCCCTATGCTGTACTCTTGCCAAGAAATTTAACCTGAAAATAATGGGAAAAAATAGGCAAATCCAGAGTGAAGCACATTCTAGAAAATCAATTGGCCTAGACTTCTAAAATATCAATGTCATGAAAAGGGGGGAAAGGATCCAGGAACATTGACACCAGAGACAGGTGAATTCCAGTGGCTCATACCTGTAATCCTAGCTACTCAGGAGGCTGAGATCTGAGAATCACAGTTCAAAGCTAGCCTAGTCAGGAAAGTCCACAGGACTCATCTCCAATTAATTACCCAAAAGCTGGAAATGGAGCTGTGGCTCAAATGATAGAGTGCCAGCCTTGAGCAAAAAAAAAAAAAAAAAACCCAAGCAAGAGTTCAAGGCCCTGGGTTCAAGCCCCAGTACCAGAATTTTTTTTAAAAAGATACTAGAAAGAGAATGGAGGGCTAGGAATGTGGCTTGGTGGTAGAGTGCTTGCCTAGTATGCATGAAGCCCTGGGCTCAATTCCTCAGTACCACATAAACAGAACAAGCTAGAAGTGGCACTGTGGCTCAAGTGGTAGAGTGTTAGCCTTGAGCAAAAAGAAACTCAGGGACAGTGCCCTGATCCTGGGTTCAAGCCCCAGGAAAGAAAGAAAGAAAGAAAGAAAGAAAGAAAGAAAGAAAGAAAGAAAGAAAGAAAGAAAGAAAGAAAGAAAGAAAGAAAGAAAGAAAGGAAGAAAGAAAGAAAGAGAGAAAGAAAGGAAGAAAGAAAGAAATAAAGGAAGAAAGAAAGAAGGAAAGAAAGAAGGAAAGGAAGGAAGGAAAAAGAGAGGGAGGGAGGGAGGAAGGAGAAGGAAGGAAAGGAAGGAAGGAGGAAGAGAGAGGAAGGAAGAAAGGAAAGAAGGAAGGAAGGAGAAACTCAGCAGGGAGAGAAGGTCATTAAGGTAGTGTGCCAACTGTGCCTGGTCACCATCCTAAAATTCCCGGTTGGAACAATGGATGAGGAACTATATCTCTTTAGGGAAACTACACAGTCCTGGGTCTGTCCAGAAGGGCAAGCAGTTGATGGGTGAGAAAACCAAGGCCCAGTTGCTTTGCCTCTTGGACCACACAGCAGAAGTAGACTAGCAGGGGGAGGGAAGGGATAGTAGGAGAAAAACAAAGGAGGGGGTAACAATGCTGGACAAGAAATGTACTCATTACCTTATTCACATAACCGTAACCCCTCTGTACAGAATCTTTACAATAAAATAAAATTTAAAAACAAGAAGTGGACTGGCACCAGATTTCCTGATGCTCACTTCTAACTAAGCTGCAATAAGCACATGAGCTGGTCATTATTTCTATGATTATGAGTAGTGCTTGCCCTGAATGGCAGTTTCATCATTGAGCGGGGACTAAATCACTGGAACATCTGCACTAAAATTCAGTGTAGCACTGAATGTCCAAAAAAGCATTTGAAGCTTTTGGATAGTGCTGATGACAATAGCATTGACCATTTTAACCTGTCCCAAAGGGCACAAGAGCATCTGTTAGAAGACTGACAGACCACCTTTCCCTTTTTGCATATCCCTAGAGAGAGCTGAACCCAGTATCCTGTTGCCTTATCTAATCACCTGCTAACCCAAGAACTTGCCTGGCTGGTGTGGTAGGGCAGGGAGCAAATAGTCAAGTGTTCTCTCTTCCAGCCTGGGTTTTTTTTTTTTAATTTCAGAAATCCCTCTGTCTTGGCCTCTCACTACAGATTTTACCTTCTCCTTCCCCATACCTGAACGAAGGTCCCTTCATATTCGAAGAAAAGCAGTGGCCACATGATGTGGATGATGGAGGGAAAGAGCTTCTTCAGAGGGAGCTGAGGAAAAAGGAAAGCACATGAGTGGCACGTCCAGGAAGGCCTGGGTCTAAGTGCCACCCAGAGTCCCCGCCTCAAGGCTGCACCCTCACCGGCAGAGATTGCCCCACAGTGCTGTGCACCAGGGCCTGGATGTTGGCAGTCTTCTCTTTCACCTGCTCCACCAATGTCTGCACCTCTGGGAGGTTGTCTGGGAGGGAGTGGAGGATGTCAGAGTTGACAGGCCACAAGGCAGCTGTCTTTCCTGTTTCTTGGCATCCAGTCAGGACACTCCCCCCTGCCCTCCCCCCTGGGTACGTATCCTAAGACTCAGGAAAATGACAGCTCCTCTGAGTTACTCCACTGCTTTCGCATCGCTCCCATCCTTCCTCTCACCATCCAGGGTAAAAATGAAGATCACAGTGTCAATTTCCTTGAGGGAGGGCAGGATGGAGGTCAGGAAATCTTCCTGGGAGAAGGAGAACTGGGGACCCTAGTACAGAAGAAAATGGGAAAGTTTCTCTCAGGAGAGCACTCTATAGTAGACATATATACTAAAGAAGCCCTTAGGAGACATCATTTGACTCCAGATTTTTAAATTCAGGGTTCAAGCCAGCATCAGTGGCTCAGACCTATAACCCTAGCTACTCAGAAGGCTGAGGTCAAAGTTCAAGCCAGCCCGAGCAGGAAAGTCTATGAGTCTCTATCTCCAATTAATCACCAAAAAGCTGGAAGTGGAGCTGTGGCTCAAGTGGTAGAGTGACAGTCTCCAGCAGAAAAGCTCAGGGACAGTGCCAAGATCCTGAGTTCAAGCCCCAGGACTGGCACAAAAAAAAAAATCAAAGTTCAAAAAGTAATATTCTGCCCATAATGATGTGGTAAGTCAGTGAACTGAAGCCAAGTTCCCCCGCCCTTGGGTGGGTGGGTGGGGGGTGTAAATCCAGTGTCATCTACATTCTACTATCCCAAAGCCTTGTGACCTTTAATCCCCGCCCTATCTAAATTATTTATCCCATCATACTTTTCCACCCATCTCTCCCTTCACCTCCTCTTCCACCCCTGTACACCAGTGATCTTCACAAGTTTCCCAAGTCCTGTCCTCCAACCTGATTTGTGAGCTCAGCCTTCTGGTTAAACATGTCACTGTGATCACCAATGAGAAAGCCACGGATGTCTCGGAAATCTGAAGAGTTCAAGAAAAGGGAGAGGGGAGTAAATGAGCTTTATAGGCATAGAAAGTTCTAGGCATTGGGGGCTGTCAAGGGAAGCAGAAAATGGTTGTGGGGGAAAGCACTAATCGACGTGGGAAGGCATAGCTAAGCATGGAATGGGATGGAAGAGATCAAGGACTGAGTTGGGATGTAAAGGAAGAAACATTTAGTTCAAGTTCTAAGCTCTGAAATGCTGAGTTAGTTGGGGCAACATGAACATGGAGGAGTGTCCATGGGTGGAAATGTTTGGAAATGTTTGGAGGGTGAATCCATTGGTTGAGGTCAGTTAAAATCAGGAAGAATGCCTGGTCTGGGGTCTCACCAGCACCAAAGGTGTGGATGCACTCTACTCCATCCATGATGGCAATGATGCCAAGGGTCTGCCAGCCAACCAAATGCACGCGGCCTTTCTTCTCCAGGCTGAGAATAGATCAGAGGTCAGGAGACCAGTGATTACCATGACACTAGTCCAGAGACGCACATAGAAGAGCACATGGGTAAATAAATCAGAAGCTTCCTGTGGCCCTTCAACAGATAGACCTATTGCCATTGCCAGCTGACTACATCTCTCAGGCTCCCCTGCTGTCAGAGTGTCTCCCATGCATATCCACATACCTGGTGCTGACTTGCTTCATCAGGGTGGCAATCTTGGAGCTTTGACTGTAGGTCACCTGATGAGCTCGCTCAAATGTCCGAAGGATTTCCAGGAGGTATCTAGAAGAAAAGTCACCAACTAGCCGAGTATAGTTGCCCATACCTGTAATCCCTAAAGTTGGGAGGCAGAGGCAGGATGATCGTGAGTTCAAGGCCACTCCTAAGGTACTTATGGAGTGACTTTGTCTCAAAAAACTGGGGGCGGACTGGGAAGGTGGCTCAGTGGTAGAGCGCTTGCCTTGCATGCATGAGGCCCTGGGTTTGATTCCTCAGCACCACATAAGCAAAAAGAAAAAAGCCGGAAGTGGCGCTGTGGCTCAAGTGGTAGAGCGCTAGCCTTGAGCTGAAGAGCTGAGGGACAGCACCCAGGCCCAGAGTTCAGGCCCCACGACCGGACCCCAAAAACAAAAACAAAACAAAACAAAAAAAACCTGGGGATCTTGGGAAGTAGCTCAATGGTTGAGTGCTTGCCTAACATAAGCTAGGCCCTGGCTTTTATATCCAGTGTGCATGTATGCTTGTGCATACACACACATACCACCAGCTCTTGGGGGAGGCCCAGGGCCCCCTTAGAGTAGATGCGTCTCACTCTTAGATGGTAAGAGAAGGTACAATTCCCTTGAAACTAAGTTCTGCTGCTCCCTGGTGGACACATGGAGGGAAAGTAGGGCCAGAAAGGCAGAAAGCAGGGGCAGAAAGGCTTCAGCAAGAAGAAAACTGCAGAGCAGAAAGAGAGCCTTGAGGGAGAACGGGGTCTGAGTGTAGAGGAGAAGATACATGAACAGTGTGGAAGCTAGGCTAGAGGCCCTGGATATGGATGGAGGTCGTAAGAGGACGGGCTTCAAACCTGTATGACCTAGACCATGTCCAAGCCAAGCTAGCCTGAGGCCATGCCAGCCTGAAGATTAGACCTGCCATTCCCCCAACCACTCTACCCCAGTCCCTGCCAGACATGTCTCCCTCTGGTCCATTTCCTCCCTACCTTTGAGAGGTTGCAATACCCTGGTCCACAGTCTTGTGAGCTGCTAATAATAGGGTTTCCAGCAGGATCTTCGTGGCACTTCCACCTTTCATCCGGGAACTGCCACTCAGACCCTCAGGCTGAGGAGACAGTGAGGAATCAATGAGGAATTGAGAGAAGGAGAAACAACCAGAAATTCACCAGTTAGTGACCCCTGGGCATGGAATATGGTTGGTGACCTATGGGCATAGAATGTGGTTGGTGACCCTTGGGAATAGAATGGGGTTGCTGACCTCTGAGTACTCACTTGATTAGTGAACTCGCTATGTTTGTTCTAGTTAGTGAGCCCTAGGCAATACCTTGATTTGTGAGCCCTAGGTATATTCTGATGATAATGGTGGGCCCCAACATACCATGAGGAGGAGTACTGGGGTGGGCATAACTTAGAGGAGAAGTCCACCCCTGGTCAGCTCTGTGCTACATTCAGGACTCTGAGAGGAATCACAGTGACTGAGTCTCTTGCCATTTGGGTCAAGGTTTATTTTGTTTTTTTTTTTAAGAGAGTGTTCTTTCTGAGAACTTTCTCCCTACCTCCTCCCACCCCCATGTTTTATTTCACAGGCTTTGGCCAGACCCCTGGAGCAGCTATTGCAATGGTACAGATTTGTAGCACAATCGTTCCAAGATGACAGCAATGAAAATGATTTTTTAAACAGTGACCGAGAAAAGAAGATTGAAAGCAAACAATTACGGAGAGGATAAAAGAAATATGAGAATGTGGGTGAGAAATCAACAGAACTCTTTCATAATATGCAATCTCCCCTGCTTATATCAAAAAAGGAAGATCAAGGAGAAGATAACAGATGTGCTCACCACTGGCAGAGGGAGGCAGGGGAAGTGCTTTTTGGCCAAGGATAAAGTAAGAATAGATGTGCATAGTGAGACATAACTATAACCCAGAGGTGAAGAAAGGAGCAGTGGTGGCCCCCAGGGGCTAAGAAGGCTGACCTTCTTAGATGGAGAAAGGCAGAAGAATGAAATCTCCTTCCATATTTTAGTCCCATATTTGAAATTTAAATGTATTTTTTAAAAGACCCAATGAGATATAACAATGGCCAGTCAAATCTGTCAGTACACAGATGGAAAATAGCTCACTAAACAGAGACTTCCCCAGAAGTGCATAATGATGACTGATTTGACAGACAGGGTGGGAATGATAGAGAAAAAAGGATTTCATTTAAAGCATGTTAGTTGCCACATACAATGCCATAGGGACTCCAACGAAATGAACAGAACCTAAGATCAGAGGCCCTAAGCAGGTGGCAAGTACTTCCCTCCCACATGCCTTCCCAGATGCTTGGAGGAGTGCGTGGAAAAAAGGAGACAGTCCCTACCCCAACTGCAGGATTGAGCACAAAAGCTTCCTGCTTCTCTTGCATTTTCTTCATGCGCTCTGCTACTTGCCGAAATGTTGAATTCCAGTCTTCAATGGGGTCATTTCTGGGGTACAGAGAAACACAGGAGTGCAATGATAGTCTGGCAGATGTAAAGGAAGGGCTTCCTTTGGGAATCAGGATCCATGACCACAATGAGATCATGGTGAGGGGCTAATAACTTCATAGAGGGATATGTAGTGGAAGCTCATAAGCCAGTGTGTCACTGAGCACCAAGGTTGGTGTTATAAATACATTCAGTGAAGTAATCCCAGAGCAAAGCTAACACTCAAGATTAAAGTTCCAGCCAGAGACCAGAACTTGATTGAATCCTAGTCCTAACAGAAGCGCTTCTGTTGTGGTTGCACCAGCCTTGCCTTCTACAGGCCCTCAGGGGAATGCCTGTTATCCAAATGTCAAAATTGCCACTGTATTTTCCATCCTAGAACCCTTTAACAGCCCTTTCCAAGCTGGGTGCTGGTGGCTTACATCTCTAATCCTAGCTACTCAAGAGGCTGGGATCTGAAGATAACGGTTCAAAGCCAGCCCAGGCAGAAAAGTTGATATGACTCTTATTAACCACCAAAAAAACTAGAAGTGGAGCTGTGGTTCAAAGTGGTAGAGCACTAGCCTTGAGCAAAAAAAAAAAAAAAAACAGGGACAGTGCCCAGGCCCTGAGTTCAAGACCAGTGCAGGTACGCAGGCACGTGCATGTATGTGGGTGTAGGTGTGGGTGGGTGTAGGCAGGGCATTGGTGGCTTGTACCTGTAATCCTATTTACTCAGAAGGCTAAGATCTGAGGTTCCTGGTTTGATGCCACCCAGGGCAGGAAAGTCCATGAGACTCTTATCTCCAATAAACTACTCAGAAAAAGCCAGAAGTGGCACTGTGGCTCAAGCTGTTCAGTGATAGCCTTGAGCACAAAGAGGCTCAAGGACAGTGCCTAGCCCTGAGGTCAAGCTCCAGGATTGGCAAAAAAAAAATCCTAGCCAGTTGTCAATGGTTCATATCATTGGCTAAGATTGGGAGGGCTTCTGAGGGCAGCCTGGACAGGAAAAAAGTTCTCAAGGCTTCTGTCTTTCTTAAAGAAGAGCTGGATACAGCAATGCACACCTGTTATCTTAGCTACAATGGGAAGCACC